TTCGCCAAGTCAATGATTAACCCGGCGCATTCGCCATTTTTAGAACTTTTTAAGTAACAACATGAATGTTTAAACGGAATTCCGTTTACTTGTGTATTGAAAGTTTTAATTTTAAAAACATTAAAGAGTTGCAGTTTTAGCAATTTACTGTAGTCTACATGGTCTGTGTAGAAACCAGAGTAAGTACGTCGCGTCGTGTACTTAGTGTCCTCTTTTATGTACTATGCTCCACACCTTAGTCCCACCACGTGACCACGTACGGAACGCAGTCTTAAAAATTTGGCATTTAAGGCTTTTCAGGGTATGTATCTGTCAAAGTATAGTCAATAAAAGAAATAATACTTATAGTGTTACCGCTTATGTTTAAGCGTTAAAAGTTAATAAATCTTTATAGTATCACAATAACAATAGCTCACAGTGTCCCTGAACGAAGTTTAAGTCACATAAAAATGACGCCAAAAACTGATTGCAGTTTCTTGTTCGGGACCCTTTGGTGAATTAAAAATGATATTTACCAAAATCCTAGCTGATCCTTTTTTCGAAATTTTTTCAAAATTTATGTTTTTTTTTTTTAATTTTTGTTTATTTCAAAGTCTACCTTTCACAGAGTACACATTTGTACACCGATTTTTATAAAATTAGAGTATATTATTGAGGCAACTTAAAGAATACTTTTTAATAATGTTCACATCATTTGATATATACAGGGTGGACCAAAAATCGCTTAATTTTAATAAAGCAAAAGCGTAAATTCATGATTTTGGCATAACAAGCAAAACAGATGTATCCCCATTTTTTTTAGATATTTCTGTTTATTAGGTTACAAAATGGCATTCTTATTAACCTTTTATTAAAAAAATAGATTTTTAATAAAATTAAATAAAATAACGCTTAAAGAATATTTAAAATGTTGTTTAATTTAGGCTTTTTAGAAGTTTTCAATTTTGAACGAAAAACTGGTTAAAGTTTTTTGATCGGCACTCTTTGGAGATTTAAAAACGGTATTTACCAAAATTCTAACTGCTTTTCTTTAAATTTGTTAAAAAATCATTTTTTTTTAATTATTTGTTTATTGCAAAGTTCACCTTTGCCAGGGTACAGATTTGTAAACCGATTTTTATTGATTGCAGTTTCTTGTTCGGGACCCTTTGGTAACTATAAAATGATCCTAGCTGCTCCTAGCTGCTCCTCTTTTCGAATTTTTTTGAAAATTCTTAATTTTTTTTTAATTTTTGTTTATCTTACCTTTGACAGAGTACACATTTGTACACCAATTTTTATAATATTGGAGACCTGAATTATTTTACGACGATAAAAAAAATAAATGGCTCTTAAATCTATCGAATTAGGACCTAAATATATTTGATGCTAAAAAATTTTAATTTTAGGATAATTTCAGGATGTTCACATGCATGTACATCGAATGTTTTATACGGTTTAGGTGTGGATAATACCAAAATAGTTTTTAAATGTCTTAGTACATACCTTTAGGAACAAACTACACCAGTTTATACTTAAAAAATATCTTTACAAAACATCTAAAGACCCGCTAAGACAAACTGTCGTCAACGAGTTGTTGCTGTCATTATGCGCATCTCCATTATATGAGAGAATTTTCAATCAAAAGGGGCAGTTTAAGTAAGAGAAGTCGCAAAATTTACCTTAGTTTACCAAAACAAATGTACTTGGGGGTAAAAACTAGGTTCCAAATGAAATTTAATGCCTATTGATAGTAAATAAATTACTAAAAAGCTAATGTACATTTAAATGTACACCAGGTCTGAAGGGGTTAACGAGACTTGGAGAATACTGTTTTCATACTGAGCACATCATTAGATTTATACAGGATTAGCCAAAAATCACGTTTTTATATAGTAAAAAGCATAATGCACAAAACAGATTGATCTCCAAAAAAATTTATTTTATTTAATTTTATTCAAAATCAATTTTTCTTATAAAGTCTTGATAAGAATCCCATTTTGTAGCCTGATAAACATAAAAATATCTAAAAAAACATGGGTGGGTAAATATCTTTTTTGCGTGTTATGCCAAAATCATGAATTTACGCTTTTGCTTTATTAAAAGAAGCAATTTTTGGCTAATCCTGTATATATTAAATGATGTGCACAGTATAAACAGTATTCTCCAAATCTCCTTAACAATATACTCCAATATTATTAAAGTCGGTGTGCAAATGTGTACTCTGTCAAAGGTAGACAAAAATTTAAAAAAAAAATCATGAATTTTCAAAAAATTTCGAAAAGAGGATCAGCTAGGATTTTGGTAAATATCATTTTTAAGTCACCAAAGGGTCCCGAACATGAAACTGCAATCAGTTTTTGGCGTCATTTTTAAGTGACCTAAACTTCGTTCAGAGCTGGTTTAAGAATTTAGAAATATAAATTATTATTATATTTAATGAAATTCTAAAGTGTATGGTGCCAAATAAGTGGTATTTTTGTGCATTGGGTCTACATTTCTCCATAAAATACTAAACCGCATTTCTTAAAAAAAAAAACTTCTTTATTATGGAATAAAAATATCTGTATCAAAGGTAGGTTAATGTATTAGAACAAAAAATATCATCTAATTTTGTATTTTAAGGTCTATATATTTTGACCAAAATAAATAAGTGGATTAATTGGAAGAGTGTGTTAATAGGGTCATAAATAAATATAGGTATCCTAAATAATTGTTGAATATGGTTCAAATTAAATTGAAGCTTTTATACATCTAATGACAAAACTTGTCATACCTCTCGGCATACCTACTTTAAGTTAGATTATAAGAAAACAAATTTTTTTTAGAGAAACTTGCAATGTGAAAATATTTAATACTCCCATGACATGTGATTTATTAAAAATTTTAAAGTTATAATTGGACGGCTTTCTGCAGAATGGGACCAACCCACACCATGATGAAACTGAGAGAAAAGCTATCAAAGATTTTAATAATTTTAAAATTACTTGTTAATTGTATGCCGATTTTGGACTTACGGAGGTTTAAGGGATATAATTTAATAATTTCATCAGGTGGATTTTGTGATGTTATGTGTAAGGGTGACGAAAAAAATGGGCTTTTGTTGGTTGGTTCCTTTCTGCAATTTATGAAAACTCCTATCTGTTGTATGTATGTATATAAAGAAAAGCGACAATTATTTATTTCCAAACAAAATACAACTGATATTACTATTATAATGGTAATATGAATTAATTTTGATTCTATTTGAAATTCGTCCACATCATCTTCCAACCCCACCTCATCTTATAAGCTACCAAAAAAATGCATCAAGACTTATATTTTGCAGAAGCAGGAAATCTTTAAAGACTTTGGTAGTGGGTCTACCAGCCTGCTTTTTTACTTAAAAGATCCAACCCACTTGCAGATATTCTACAGATTCTAATTCTGGATTAGTAATCCACACTATTATTGAATGTTGGTTGGTTCAATGATTAATAGATTTCACTACACTTGCATTTTGGCTATGACCTATTTTGCAGATAAATTATACACACTTAATTAGTTCATAGGCTAAATATCTCGATTTTTTTGGTTTTGTGGGTTGGTTCCTTTCTGCAGAAAGGCGTCCAATTATTTTGTAGATCAAATTCAGTCGAAGCTTTATAACTATTTGTATTGACTAAACTTTATGTATATACACTAGGGTGGGCCGAAAATTCGCTTTTTTAGAATTTCGTTTAGTAATATCAACATCCTAGGCTCGCCCAATGCAATTAAAGATCAACGTAGGACCGTTTGGAAAATATAGCGCTCCAAAAGAAAAAGTGATTGGGTTCTTTTTTTTCGATTTTTATTGGTTATAATTTAACCGACCACCAACTAATACAAAAAGTTTAATGAAAAATAACTTTATTTGCTTTATGTATTGGTGTATATATATAGTTTATGTATTGGGGTATATACAGGGTATTATGTAATTAATGTTATATATTAAAATACTGAATACCTTTTGACATAAGGTGTAATGGAAAAATATTTTAAAAGATATTTTCCCAAAGATAAAGAAAATATATGCATTACAAGTTTTTTATATTTTTTGTGATACGCCACTGGTTACACACTTGTGTTCTGTGAGTACATAGATACAAACCAACAAAGTAGCTGCGCGTTGCCAGTTGTAAAAAATTGTTACTAAAACATTTTCTTGCATAAAATAAATAAAAAGTCAATAAATACAAAAGTTTTATGCCCTTAAAGCTCTAATACCATTCTGTATTTATTTACTTCAAAAGATAATAACCTAATCTACCTATGCTCGACGTTCAAAATCCAATAAAGTAAACTTTAATGTATCAAAATCGTTTTTATAGTCCTTAAAAACCAGTCCCCTGACGTGTCACCAAAGCATATAGGTCACTTCACACTAAATTAATTAAAGACACAACTATTGGAATCAACCTAATTGTTTAATTATTCAACGAATATTGTTTGCTTGTTACTGTACCTTATTTACTTTTTATAATTATTATTTTGTAATTCTAAAAAAGTCATCTAAACTATGTCTCCGGATTTTATAAACAGTCCCCCTGTCTATATTCAAAAAGTCGCGCCAAGTAGTGTTAAGTTTAAACAACGCCGTTTGTACGTTTAACAAAACGCAAACAACCTAAATTTTGCGCGGTTGCCGCTCTTGGGGCGTGGCCGCCATCTTGTTTAGTAATTTGAGAGCGTCCTTTTGTGGAAGGCACGTTGTAATCTGACAGCCCACAGTCCACTGGTAGTAATTATTTGTATTTCGATTTACGTATTTTAATAATTCCTTGAATAGTTTAAAATTGTTACAATGGATACATATTTGCTATGTAGAGCAAAATATCATGGATCAATTACATTTTCTGCTACTCTTTAATGAAATCAAATTAAACATTCCCCTGGAAACAGTCCCTTGTCTATCGACACGACAGGGGATTGTTTCCACGACCAGGGTACTGTCTAAAATTTACTCTAAATTAAGTATCTTCTTTTTCTCCCTGCCCTTTTTCCACATTATGTGGGTTCTGCACAACATGTGATAAATTGTACTCAGATAGTGATGAAAAGTCTAAGCTGTTTTTGCGACAATGATTGTCTGCACTTTAATATCGGGAAGATAAATTATGAACACAAGCTAAAACTTAATATGGAAGATGTGTACACTGATTCAGAATCTGAGAATAAAGCTGGACCTAGCTCTGCTGTAGTACAAGCTTATAATACTGGAGATTATATTGTTGTAAAATTACTTGGCAGAAAAAATATGGAATACAGATATGTGAGCGTTATTGACAAGATTGAAGAAGAACATGGCGAAATCCGAGTCATATTCTTAAAGCTCTGCGATAATAAAGGCCAATTATTCAGATATGATCAAGACGATGTGGCAGACGTTACAATTGACCAAGTGGTACAGAAGTTGCCCATCCAAATATAGTTTTAAAAGACAATAGAATAATCTACAAATTTGATTCACCTGTAGATGTTTTCGAAAAACAATAAAAATAATGATACTATTTTTTTACCTCTCTGCTAAATTTAAGTAATACCTAACTAATTATTATATTTCAATGAGACTTATTCTATAGTGTGAGATTCAAAGTACAAGACATCCTTTCAATATCTTATTTTGTGTGATTTTAATGTAAGTAAATATTAAGAGTTCTCAGTGAAAATTTGTGTATAATTACAATATTACAAAAAGGTTGTTGATTTTGTAATGTTTCTATTGTTCAGTTACAGCTTCAAAGGTTAATGATAATAAAAAGCATTTAATATTGGTACTGAAATTGTATTTTTCATTTTAATTCCACGTCCCCTGACATAGGTAACAGTCCCCTGTATAGATTTTTCAGAAAATGCTCAATGTTTTCCAAAGTAATAGGAATATTTTTGGTTCATCTGCCGTATACTAATAAATAGACCGATATTTATTCATCGAATAACATTTATTAAATATATAACAAAAAAAGTTGCCTAGACAAATTCTTACTTCAATTTGCCCAGTTTACAGAGAAACGCCCGTATAATAATTATAATTAGAGATGGGATTTTAGGTTGCAAAATTTATAAAAATAAGTAGGTTAAGTTTTTTCCTGTTTTAGGTGAGAAAATTGTTAAATTAGGTACGTACTTTACAAAAATAAATATTGGAATGGAACTGTTAGGTAGTAAAATAATTTAATTTATTATTGTATAAAATTGGATTGAACAAGATTTTTATGATTTGAAAATAACTGAATATACTTGTAAAAATATTATAATACTATCATGAACTTTATAATTGTTTAATGCGGCGACACATTTAAAATGTTTTTGTTTAAGCATCCAATGGCTGAATATAATAAATTCACTTTCATTATAATATGAATGTTTTAAAAAATGCTAAATTGCAATTGTAGCAAATTTGTGAAAAACATGGAATTTTTAAATAAAACATGAGATTGATTGTAAAAACTTGAGATCTCATGCAGAAGCATGAGTCCTGGCAACATTGCACAGGAATGTCATATTCGCGTCGCTGTTCGCGATTCCCAGTACCAAGCACTCCCAACCAACCCACATTACCAATTATGAACAGCAAAAATAACTACATGGTGTATAAGAATTATGTCATCCGAATACGACAACCCCAATATTACAAAATCATATGTTTTTGAAGGTAAAATTTGAAATTTTGGTTCATTTCTGTTTAAAAATAAGAATTTAGTTTAAATAGGTAAAATAACAACAGTTTAGGTAGTAAAATTTAAAAATTAGGTCCATTTCTTTTGGAAATAAATATTTAGATAAAATAAAATTAGGGTCAAATAAAATGATTTTCTTCAAAACAGATTTTATTCCATTGCACCTAAAGTTATAATTAGCATAGACAAATAGGTAATAACACTAAAATCCCATCTCTAATAATAATATACTATTATCTTCTATTACGCTGTGACTTTATGGCGTTTTAGTCACAGGCTAAATTAGGCAATAGTGGCTTTTGGGCATTTTACTTACGGGCTTTATTATAAATTGCGAAAAAGTGAGGTTAAATTCGTCAAATAACAATTAAAATTGGGTTTAAATACTTCTTTGTCTTCGTCGTTAATAAAGTGTCTCGTTTTATTAAACACATCATCATAATAATATTATTATACCTTAAAACACGTTACGATGTAAAATTGATATTTTATTATGTATTTCAATATAAACCTGGCCTACCAAATTTAATATTTTTGTTTCAAGTTTTTGGTTTATAAAAAAAGCTTTGAAACTTAATATGATGGTATCATATTCGTAAAATATCATTTTACACCGCTAAATCCCTTTAAAAGTGTCAATAGAACGTTATACAATATGGGTGTAATTTAACAAGGAAAACTCCGAAATAAGCTATATGAACAACCTTTAGAAAACCCTGTTTTTTCTTCGTTTTTCATCTTCGATAAGTGATTTTTAGACATGACGTGTTCCAGGGGGATATTTTATTAAATCCTAGTAGCAAAATCGACATCGGCCAAAACACTTAAAGTGTCGAGGTAAGAAAAGAAGCGGTCAAAAATACACGTCTCAATATTTTTTATTGTACGGAGTAAATGGGCGATGAATATAGAGTCGACGAAGAATACAATTGCGGTTCACTCAACGAGAATCACATATAAGTATGGAAGAGAGAAAACAGGGGAGGAAAAATCGGACGACAAACGATTGAAGTCCTATTTGAAATTGAAATATTACGATTTCGTCCTTAAAAGGATCTCGACAAATATCCCGAATAACTTATTCTCTTTATTTATGATTTTATTTATTTTACGAACGTATTTCCACATTCAATTTACAAAATAAATATTAACAAAAGTTTTCAGCATTAGAGTTACAAAATGTCTCTTAAATTTTATTAGAAATCATTGTATTTACTAAACTAAGTTCATTACTTTAAACTTAGTATAAATATTATAAAATTCATACCAAATAAATAAATAAAATGTGATGATGTGGTAGTTAGTCAACCGCATATTGCTTTAAACTAAATAATTTCTGCAGTAATTCTCTACATCTCATACATTGTAATAATTGAAGTACGCCTGATTTGCGTGAAATAAAATCCCTATATTTCCTTACGATCTAATCAGTAAGACTAAACTAGCTGATTTTTGGGTGTGCTCGAATTTGTTGCCACGATAGAGAACGGAAATATTGTCATTTTCACCGCAAAAGCAAAAATGGTCATTATTGTATTTTTGCTATTTACAAAAACACACAATTACGACATAATTATGTTGTTCGAAATTCCGTCTCCACCACTGTACCAATATTTAAAGGTCTTGGCCTTTAGCGTACCATAATTTTACCATAATCTGGTTATCTTTTACAGAAAATATTATTTTTTGTTTTAATTCAGTGGAAATCTGTGAAACTTGAACATCAATTAAACCCTAGCATTAATTGCATTAATTGCCAGATCTTGCAAATGAATAAGCGGGACACGTGAATCTGCGACAGAATATGTTTCACTGTTTTAAGGATACACTTTCGAAATAAAGATTTCTAAATTACTGCGAAAAAAACGTCATATTTTTTCCTTTAATGGAGGTTAGGTATCTGTCAGTTTAACGCTAATTCAAGAAGACAAAATTAAATACAGGAGGAGTAACTTTCTATGTGGGCCCCACCTATTGGGGTCGCGCCAAAAGAACGTACGTACAGTTGTATTCATTAAAAAAGCGTACAAGAATTAGAATGAGAGAAAACTGTCAACATTATTGCGTAAAACCGGCTTTCCACTGACTTAAGTCACTATAACTGACAGTAGAAAATAAAAATGCCTCGTCAGTTAAAAAGGCTCAAATAGTATCAAGAATCGAAGAAGAATGGTCAATTCGTACTGTGGTATAATAGAAATAAAAAATCTATATTAAAAATTAAGCAACGCTGGGAACAGGAAGATTTACTAAACCCAAAATTGGTTCAGGTCGTCCCAAAATGTCCACCCCTGAACAGGGTGCTGCTTTTTTGAGATATCTAAGGATATATGGGAAACAATACAACTATACTATACCTACTATACTGCTGGGAAGATATTAATCCAAATATTGTATTAAATTTAATTCAGTTCATCCCAAATAGATTGGCTCAAGTAATAGAAAAACAGGGATGCATGACTAAATATTAAATTTTTTTTAATGTTTGTTTTTTTCATTATTAAAAGGTAATATTATTTAATTAACACGACGTCAATGCTCTTTATAACCTATAATAATTATTTTAATGACTTATGTCAGTGATAAGCCGGTTTTAAGCAATAATATTATTTTGACAGTTTTCTCTCATTCTAATTCTTGTACGCTTTTTTATTGAATACAACTGTACTATGCTTCACACTCAAAAGTCAAACCTTGACATTTAAAAACAAATAATTAAGGTTATCTATCTGTCAATTCAACGCTGTTTTGCCTTATTTTTGGTTGATTTAGGTTTTAACTTTTAAAATTATTAAATTATTTTCGACCTGCATATCCGAACGCGGAACAAATCGGGTAACATTGATTAAAATCGGGACAGTGTCCCGCCTAAATAGGGACGTCTGGCAACCCTGAGCATTATGGAATCCATAATATGTATATGTATATATGTATATGTATATATGTATAATAGTGGACATGGTCCTTGAAGAGGTGTTGCCAACCTACGTGACTCGGGTTGTTTGGCAACCCTGTTCTGCATCTAAACTAGGGATTTTATTTTTCGAAACCCAGGCATGCCACAATTATTCCAATGTACAAGAGGTAGACCACTAATGCTAATGTTGCACTATTGCAAATACAATAAAAGCAGTAGACACCGCTTTAATTTCTTGTTACATTTAATGCAGCAAAAATTATTTTAGTGTTCATGTTTTTAAATAATATATTCTAACAAGTTTTTTGTTTTTATTTATAAAATTGTAGTATTTTGGCGAGGCGCCGTATTGCTATTTATTGAATAAATGCATTGCCTTGTTCCTGGTGTATTAAATGTTAAAACATTGACAATGAATTTCCTATAAAATCTTTATTACTGTTTACGTATAACGTGTACTGTTTTATTTATTAAACATATTACTATGTTAACGTATGTATGCAGATCCAAATATGAGTGTTTTTTGTGATAATATAAAGTATACTTTCCTTTAAGCTTAGTGTGCGTATCACCCTTTAATAATAATATTGGAAATTTAAAATTTGTCAAAAATATTTTTTGGACACATAGATACTACATGAAACCTAATGTTTTAAAAATATCCCTTAATTAAGTATCACCTTAGTTTTGTTATGCTATTAAAATTACTACATTTTGGTTTTTATTTGATTTAGTTTATAATTTTGATAAAAAATTAACTATTTTTAATATTATAAAAACAAATTCGTATATCTGTATATATATAAAACTAAATAAGCCAGGATGTAATCGTGT